TTAATGTTTGAATGAAATTTGGTGGATGCAACTATGCAATTCGAGCTTTTTTTCCAAAAATATTATGAGCTTAATTTGACGATTGAATCATATTTGGATGCTAATATGTTTTAGAACCCTTTAAAGTTAAGATTTGGGTTAAGGGTGAGTACCCCCCCTACCCTTTTAAAATTTTGTTTAACTTGCATTAACCGTGATATTGTTTGCGTCATTAGTATACTAGCCTTCTCAAAGTCATCAGTTCGGTAATGAGGTGTATGGACTGAGATGGTTGTACAACTTGCTGTTACTGCATTTGTGAAGGATGAAGCATTTATGGAGAGTAGAAAGAGCTGTTATAGAATAAAATTGGTTGTGGATAGGATCCGTTATAAGGAGGCGCTGCTCTAACATGTGCAGGAATTGGGAAAGGATACGACTTATTCCCTAGAATCGCCATAAACTGAGCCTTAATCCCACCTATGTTCGGGTAACTAAAGCTCATTGCAGGCCCAACATTCAAATTAACTAGAGGAGCAGCACCCATAGGAGATGAATTAGTGAAGAATTGATTAAATAACAGAAAACTTACCATCATATTACTGGGAGCACTAAGGGGCAATGCAAGCTTAAGCATATACTGCCTCTCTTTCTAAGTTAATGAGTTAATCCTTTTTAGTTAATCTTACTAATTTTCTAACAACCTAACTTTCTTTCAGTACCGAAATCAACCTTTTTATTAATCTTGCTCATGAAATGTCTATGTTGGCTGGTCACAAGGATAATTTTCTTTGTGCCTACTTGTGCTAAGATTGCCTATGAAAATGAAACTGATATGTGTGCTTCTAGTTCTGGTTATGTTGTTGTTCTTCTTTATAAACTGTTCATAAAGATTCATGGTTCGTTGATGTGGATGTCCTATGGGTGTATTTCTGATAGTACGAGTTATAAGTATGTATAATATGTTTGATAGTTTTAAGCTTATGTTGGTTAAGAACTCTGTAAGAACCTTAGTCCAATATTTATGGGATGGTTATGAGCACATTGCTTCTGGTGTTAAATTTTCTTACTGTATCTGACTGCAACTTTTGTAAACTGGTTTATTGCCAGTTAGGCCTCTAACATATATTTTTGTTGTGTGTTAAAAAAAAAGGGACTATAGCAGCCATTGTGACTCCATGACACCTTGTTTTGATTCTTCTAAATAGGAACTTTCTGTTTCAATGAGGCTTGCTACCACATAACTAATGTCCAGTGTTCAAAAGGGAAATCCATAGTATATGCTTTCAAGTTAATAATGAATCAAAGAAAAAAAATCTTGTGTTTTTTTAGGGTGTGTAGTTTGCTAGGACTAATGAAGTGAAGAAAAGCCATGACATTTGATATGTTGTGTCTTTGACATGAACTAATGATTGTACCTTTTGGTTGTTCATGCAGGGCACTTGTTGCAGAGTAGCTAGTGGTAGAATAAATTATTTTTTTGGTATGGAATTACGGCGGTTGCTATATCACTATATGCTAAAATATTTGAAGAAGGAATGCATTCATAATAGAAGTGGCTCCAAGGGTGGTGGAGAAAGCATTGTATTAGATGCTCCACATTTTTCCACACACTGCTACTGCTTTTGCTTTGCTGATTGTTGTTGCTCCTATTGTAGACTTTAGTTACTCTAATTAGTTTTGTTATTTTTGTTTTTTTTTTTGGTTATTTTTGTCTTTTTTAAACATTTTTTGGATGATAAGTGTAAATTTCAAGCTATTAATGAAAATGTTAAAGTTTTATGTTTGTTAACAATTTTGGGTGAAAAAAGTGGCAAAACAGGTGCCTTTAAGCCGGTTTGAACCACTGCCTAAATATTTTTTTTCAATTAGTGCTATTAGCCACGGTAATATTTATGGCAACACATTTATTAGTCACGGTAATATTTATGGCAACAACGCTTATTAGCCATGGCAGAATTTGTGGCAAATAATTTGTTAGCCACGTTAGTATTCGTGGCAAGTGAATTTGTTTGCCACGTGAGTACTCGTGGCATAAAAATTAAAATTACCACAACATCCATTTTCCCGTGGCAAATTCCTAGCCACGGCCTCTTGTGCCACTGGAGTAAATTTCAAAATTCCCGTGGCTATGTAATTTAGCCACGAGAATTTTAAACTTGTGCCACGATTTTGCTCGTGGCACAAAGGTCAATTTGTTGTAGTGTTCCTAAGTGGCACAAAGACTATGTCATGCCTCAGAACACAGCTCATATAAGTAATCTTGCTGACACTGAAATTCAGGCAGAATTTCATTGCTTTCTCTCTGCTCTGAACAAAGAAATAGATCATGTCTATTTTAAGGATGCTGTCAAACATCCTCACTGGGTCAAAGCTATGAATACAGAACTCAGTGCACTTGAACTCAATGACACTTGGGAAATCACACACTTACCACCTGGCAAAACAGCCATTGGGTGTAAATGGTTATATAAAACCAAGTACAATCCAGATGGGTCTATTGAGAGACACAAATCTAGACTGGTTATACTTGGATGTAAGCAACAGTATGGCATAGACTATTCTGAGACTTTTGCCCCAGTTGCTAAGATGACAACTGTGAGGGCTTTGCTAGCAGTTGCAGCTATGGAAAATTGGCATGCCATACAAATGGATGTCACAAATGCTTTTCTACATGGGGATTTAAATGAGAATGTGTACATGAAATTGCCTCAGGGCTATACAAGTCTGGGAAGCAGAATTGTGCAAACCCAGGAAATGTCATCAGTTCCCAAAGCTGACTCATCTTTGGTCTGTAAGCTCAAAAAATCCCTATATGGCCTTAAACAGGCACCTAGACAATGGTTTCACAAATTGTCTTGTGCTCTTCTCAATCTGGGATTCACTCAATCTAAATCTGACTACAGCTTGTTCACCAGGATCACTGCAAAATCTATCACCATAGTTCTGGTCTATGTTGATGATCTCCTGATATGTGGTAATGATTTAGCTGAAATTAAAAAGCTTAAATCCCTTTTGTCCAATGTGTTTCACATGAAAGATTTGGGTCCAGTCAGATACTTCCTAGGAATGGAGATTGACAGATCTAATGTTGGTTTCTTTCTTTCTCAAAAAAATATACCACTGATATCCTTAAAGAGTTTGGAATGCTCAATACCAAACCTTTGCAACTTCTTATGGACAGTCACCTCAAACTCACTGCAGACAAGGGTGATCCTCTCCCTGATCCTAGTACTTATCAGAGATTGCTAGGCAAACTCATTTATCTGACAATTACAAGGCCTGATATTGCATTCTCTGTGCATATTCTGGCATAATTCATGCATCATCCTACAATTGTTCATATACAGGCTGCAAAAAGGGTCCTAAGATACTTAGTTGGGACTTTATCTCAGGGTATTTTACTTGCCACAAGCTCTGCTGCTCAACTAACTGCCTACTGTGACAATGATTGGGCTAGTTGTCCTATGACCAGACGTTCTACTACTGGATATTGCATCTTCCTTGGCCAATCTCCAGTCTCATGGAAGACAAAAAAGCAGCCTGTCACCGCTCGTTCTTCTTGTGAAGCTGAATATAGAGCCATGGCTCTAACTACATGTGAGGTTACTTGGTTAACTGCTCTGCTCAAGGATCTAGGGCTCAAGAAACTTCCTCCAACCATTCTCAAGTGTGATAATCAGGCTGCACTTACTATAGCTGCAAACCCCGTCCTTCATGAACGTACCAAACATGTTGAGATTGACTGTCACTATGTTCGTGATCAGGTTCAACAAGGCACAATTAAGACTGCTAAGGTTTCTTCTGCTACTCAGATTGCAGATATAATGACCAAGGTTCTTCCTTTCAAGCTTCATCAGCAACATGTCCACAAGCTGGGTGCTTCCTTCGTTCCCCACCAGCTTGAGGGGGGGTATTAAGGATATTTATCCTATGTATATCCTAAGTTTCTTTTTCTTCTTTTCTCTAATATTTTGTTATCCTTGCTGGCATTCTGTTATGCTTTGTTTTTTGTCCTTTTCCTTTCTGTCATGAGGCCTTGCTATAGTACACTGAATGTAATAGATTCTGTGACAGCTAGGTGTAAGATTCTCTAAGGGGTGTGTACTAAGTATGACAGTGCTGCAAATTGTTCGGCAAGCAATCAAATTATTCCTCTCTTCTCTTTCTAAATTCTGATCTTCTCTCTTTTCTATTTTCCTCTGCATTGATTATATTGAGCTACGTTTGTCATCACAGATACCACATCACTTGTAATCTTTTATGTTTTCCTTTGAGGTACTCGACCATTTGCCTTGTTTCAAATATTTCGATGTGTTACAATGAGATAATTTTAGCAAGACCCAATATGACTATATTTTTAATTTTTTTCTTGTACATTTGTGAGAATTCGTGGTTAAATTTTAAACTCTTTAACCAAGATTAGAATAAATACTTTTTTTCTTATATTATTGGTTGAGGCCCAGAAATATGTTTTATACTTTATCACTCCCCCTCACATGAAAAACCCTTTGGGCTTGAAATGTGGATGCAACACAGGCCCACCCATACCTGGTGCGAATTAATTCCACTTTGAAGGAGGGGCGGATGAGATTCGAACTCGTGACCTTTGTGTCACGCTGGCTCTGATACCATGTTAGAGGACCAACTCAACCAAAAGCTTAAACTGATGGTTGAGGCCCAGGAATATGTTTTATACTCTATCATACATTTTATCTTTCTATTCGGGTTTTACTTTTCACTTGACTTGTGGACTAAGTCAACTAACTATATAAAATCATAACTTGGGCAATTGGCATCCCAAAGTCAATGTTTGAAGTGGCCACATCAATACATCATGTTTGTCCACCAATCTCCAACCCACAACTAAGGTGCATGTATGATTTTAGCCCTTGTAGGCTTGTTAGAGACATAGTGGTAGACAATATAAATCCTTAAAACATGATATAATTATACCACTTGGAATTAACATACAAAATAAGCTAAGAACGGTTCTACAAACCAAGTCATTGATCCGGGAATAAAATGAACTTTCTATTTGTGGACTGTCAACTAGTAGAAAAATATTGAAATTATTTTGACGACTTATTATGACCTTTTAGTGAAATGCACGTTATTTTAATTCGGAACAATTCGTACGTGCATACATGTATCAAAAACTTGGTCACGTCATCCAGCCAAGCGTTACATCATGCTAAGTTCGTTACTACTTAGAAGATTTTCTCTATAAATACAAATCATTATTTCTGTTACATCATAATAACAAACACAAATATAAAAAATATTAAAAAGATTTTCTTTTATTAAAAAAGAAAAAAGAAAAAAAAATGGCTAGGGCTAGAACAAGTTCTTCCTCTACCGCCACTCTAGCCATTGTTCTTCTCTGTATGACCCTGGTCGGTCAGTGTTATGGTCAGCTGAAGCAAGGTTACTACACCGGAAAATGTAGTGCCAATGTTGAGAGTGTTATTTTCGATATAGTTTCAAAAGCTTACCAAACTGATAAATCCATTGTTGCTGCTCTTCTACGAATGCAGTTTCATGATTGCTTTGTTAGGGTATGTAATTTTATGCAATGTTACTTAACATACATATTTATGTACACTAATATTATTAACTGTTAAATAATTACTCCGTATTATAAATGATAGATAAACAAGTATTTCATTTTTGTTGAACAGGGATGTGATGCATCCATCTTGTTAGATGGAAGCACCGCAGAGAAAAATGCACCATCAAATGGCAGTGTTCGAGGTTATGAACTTATCGATGCTATCAAAACAAGATTGGAGCAATTGTGTCCTCAACTTGTCTCTTGTGCAGACATCATTGTCGTAGCAACTAGAGTTGCGGTTGCCTTGGTATGCATTACACACATTTGTTTTATTATATATGTTACGGTATATATCTAACATGATGATTTAATTCGGCCGGTAAGCTAAGACATAAACCAAGCAAAGCTTGGCGGAGTTGGTGGGGAACTCACCTTGTGAATTTGAGGTCACAAGTTCGAGCCCCATCAACTAGACAATGCTTGGGAGTAAGGGGATTCCCTTACCTCCCCCTCTATTCTCAAGCATTGACTTGCAGAGCTGCTAGAGTTATCGGTTCAGTAGGGTCTTTCATCTTACCTTTAAAAAAAATTACGAGTAAGCTAAGACATAATATGTGGAATGAATCTTGTAGGCTCAAGGAAATTGGTACAATGTTGAAACTGGAAGGAAAGATGGATCATTTTCATCATCAACTGAAGCTGAAAAGAACCTTCCTCCACCCTCAATCTCAGTTCCAAATGCAATTAGACTATTCAATAGCAAGGGATTGAGCGCCAATGATTTTGTGCTTCTCTTAGGTATAGATATACTATCCAATGAAATACTTTAATTAATAAAATCAATTCAATTATTTCATATACATACAAACTATATAGCATGCATAATATTTATTAACTTGTAATTAAAACGAGTTTTATATATACAACAGGAGGTGGTCACACCGTTGGAGTCATTCATTGTAGCAAATTCCTAGACCGGTTGTACAACTACCAAAACACCGGTAGAGCTGATCCATCAATGAACTCAGCAACTCTTACGTCGTTTCAACAAAGATGTCCTCGCAGTGGATCAAACAACTTTGTTTACGCGGACCAAACTGTAGGAAGTGAATTCAGGGTGGACAATGGATTCTACAAGGCAATTTCGCAAGGCAAGGGTGTGCTCGAAATTGATCAACGTATTGCAAGCGACTCACTAACCAAGAATTCAGTGAGTAGGTTGGCTTGGACTGGGGACTTTGCCACCCAATTTGGTACCGCTATGATCAATCTTGGTAGGGTTGGAGTCCTTACCCAGGGTCCGGTCAGGAGGAACTGCCGTCGTAACTACTAATACCACATCTGTGCTTACCACAATATGCATGGTCGTTGTTCCTGGTGTTACTTTAATTTAATTTGACGGCTTAACTATCATTCTTTCTGTTCAAGCTATTATGAACTTGTTCGTTTTTTCATTATATTTCTTCATTTGTTTTTGACTTATATGTAATTTTGAGTATTATTAAGAGTGTTTGAATTATCTATGGAACTATATAAGTTCCAATCAACTTTACTTGTTTGTATTAACAAAAGGCTTATAATACAATGGGAATTATTATGAGTATTTTTATTTATATAATAATCTATATTTCATCCTTTTTTTTTTTTTTTTTTTTTTGTGATAAGTATCTATTTCATCCCTTTGTTTCTCATTAGTTCTCAAACAAATTAAAATATTTAAATGGTACTCATACAAAATACAAGTTTACATACAGATATATGTCCTCATTAATTATATCTACTTTCTCTCTTTCCAAATTTCCTCATTATTCTAGCTCTTTGTTCAGTTTTAAAAAATATTACCAAAAAAAAAAACAATAAAAAAAGACATCATAGGATATAACATCATCAATTAAACATATTTATTAGTTCATTATAATATAAGATCGATTAATTGATATACGTTAAATTATTTGAAATTCAATAGTTAACTCTATTCGAAAATAATCTCCAACTTGCATATGATCATGCCTTAACTTTATGCCTCAAAAAAAAAAAAAAAAAAAAAAAAAAAAAGGGTAAAAAATCATGCCTTAACTTTAGATTTTAAAAAATAGATCATTTTACTCTATCAATTGTTAGGACTTAAGATAATAAGTTCCCAAATTTTGCATGATGAATTCAAACTGTGTTATTATTAATTAGAATTGACACATATTAATTAAGATTAAACAAGTAGTTTTACAGTTTTTAATCAAAATTAAATTGAAGCTAGGATGATACATGTACGCGTACACTTTGGACGTGCTTATCCATCGGATTGGACAAAAATAATAATCAAATTGAAGGGATGAATCATATAATTGTGTGACAAAATAATGTTGGCTGTAGTTCACGTTTAGTTATGATTATGAAATGATTGATGATGCTAATTGAACATTTTGTTTATGTTTTAGTATATCCGCGTTATTTTAATACATTTGATAGATTATTAACTTTTAGTAATTCTTCTTTCGGTTATTATTCTATAGTTTTGCACAATTGTTTAACACTGTCAAACAGCTTTTCCGCAAGGTATTAAGGAGACAAGTCATATTATTGCAATCATGATCTGGTCTTATACTCATTAATCTATATTTAAATTATATACGGAGTATTCTACAAAGTTTTAATATATTGTTGCATTATTTTCATTAATCCAATAGTTGGAATTGATATGTTGGGATGACATTAATGTGTTGCAGAGCATCAAATCTCTAACTTTTAGATAATGTTAATCACTTATTAATTAATATAATCAATCATTAAGTAAATCAATCATCTAAATACATTAACAACCTAAAAGAAAAAAAATAATAAGCGTTTTGTGTGCGGCTGGACATACCATGTGACCGCTTGTAAAATAACAAAGTAACTCTATAGCACTAATTGAGTAACTCTTTTAATACTGACCGAGTAACCTCTAAAACACTAACTGAGTAATCCCTATAACACTGACCGAGTAACCTCTATACACTAACGATGTAACTCCCAAGATGGATGGTTATAGGCCAGTGTGACCAACCAAATATAAGAATTTATAAATAAAAAATTAGTTGAAATAAATTTCAAAATGTTTATTATATATATATATATAAATAATTTAAATTCTCAAGCTAAAATAAAGCTTAGAATCTCCTCCAGCTTACATTGCTTATTTTTTAAGAAGAGACTCAATTAAAAATATTAAATATATAAATAACGTTTACAATTATGACAAAAAATAACAAAGTAAATTATACAAGTATTTGTTAGAGATATGAGATATCGGTCACACATATATTTTCCGATATCTCATATCTCTAACAAAATTAACAAAAAGAATTAAGAATTGCTTATTCCTCTAAAACAAAACGAAAGGAATTTGCAATGTCGTCAATGTCTGTGGTGGTTAACAGCACCGCAGCATTTCCTAACCTCTCCTTGCTTTCCGGTGAGAACACCGATTCGGCCCATGTTAACCATGGCCGGACCAAATCTACTCTCGAAGTAACCAGGAGCATAAGCTAGCTTTTTAACAAGGCTGTTGGTTAATGGAGAATTAGCAATGTTTGAATCAATCTCAAGAATTCCTTGGTTTACCAATAGGTTCTTGTAGTAAGTGTTGTCCATGCGATAATGAGTCTTGGGGTTGTTTTTGAAATAAACTTGGTTTTTACTCCTACTTGGACATGTCTTCTTCAAGGCGTAGAGCATGTTGGAATTCATTTTTGCATCTGGTTTACCGGTGTTGTGGTAATTGTATAGACGGCTTTCAAACTTGTCACAGTGTGTAGCTCCAACAGTATGTCCTCCTTTATGAACAAAACGACATTGTTATTATTATATATAGATGTACATGAGATTGTTGTACTAAGCTTGTTATATATATATATATATATTGTGGATTAAATTGGTAAAGTTTAGTATGCACATACCTAGAAGAACAACAAAGTCCTCCTTACTTAGTCCTCTTGAAGCAAAAAGGTGGACGGCGTCACGTACTTGCATGTTTTCTGATGGAAGATTTGCAATGGCTTCACTTTGATGTGATTCAAAACCATCACGTCTTCCTGTTTCTACGAAATACCATTTACCTCCGGCCTAGTTTTGAATGTATGGGATAAGATTAGTTAATTATTTAAAATTCATTCAAATATTATTGAATTAATTTGGTGTGATGATAAACTAATTTTATGTTAATTTAATTTCTTGTTTAAAGAGGTACACTATATTATTACTTTACTTAAATAAATAATATATAAATTAGATATTTTGTATTATATATAAAAAGCGATAAAAAAAAAAATATCATGGTTAATTTGATAGGAATGTGTTATGTTACTCACCAAAAAGACAGCACTTCTAGCAGCAATATTGAGTACATCAGCACAAGAGACGATTCCTGGACAAGCTTTCTCTAGAGCTGCCTTTGCTGCATCCACGACATAAAATCCCTTAAGGCTAAGATTGGGTGATGCTGTTTTCTCTGTTTTTGGTCCATTAAGTAGGACTGATGCATCACATCCCTATCAATAAGAAATAAACACAACATTAGTTTATCACCATATACCAAATCATTTACATCAAATCAATTCAGGTTATTACTTACCCTAACAATGCAATCATGGAACTGTAATCGAATGAGACCAGCAACAATAGTTGGATCCCTAGCAAATTTAGCCTTAACTACGTTGAAAACAATCTCTTCGACATTGTAGTTCCAACATTTCCCGTTATAGTAACCAACTTGTAGTTTTTCCCCATAACCTTGGCTAACAAGGGTCACAAGAATGAGCCCTAGAGCTAAAGCTACAGAAGAAGAAGTACACCTCATCATTTTTTGTAATTCGCTTATTTAGAGATAAAGAAAAATGATCGAGATGATTATTGTGATCAATCAAGTGATGATGAGAATTGCTAGAAACTTTCCCTTATTTATAGTGAAGCTAAATATAATACTTAAAAGTAAAATTGTAGCAATTGGATTTAAATAATATGCTTATTAGTACTATAATTGGCTAATTTTATACATAGTTGAATAATGTTATGAACGTGAATTCTATTATCCCCTCATCAACTACTTATCATTATAGCTTAATTATCTTTAAGAAAGAATAATTTTGGCTTATATCATGCCAAAAGTATGATTGGTACATCCCAAAACAGACATGTTTATTTAGCTATAATTCATTTGTTGGGTTAAGTTCATTGATCTTGTATTAGAGAGTTGACATGAATTTACTGTTTTTCCAAGTCAAAATATAATCTTAAAAATAATATAATTAGCAATTAGGCTTAGGTGGAAGGGCAATGGCACATGGATTTGTGACAATATGTGAATTATTTTGTATATTATATGGTTTTATATCATTATATGAAAAGTACTTGGGTTACGAGTAATCATTATTGTACGTGTTTGAACGGTTCAACGGCTTCAACCCAGCACATATGATCAACTAAGAATGTTTTTAACTTTTTCCTTTTCTAATATTATCAGATAAAAAATTAATAATTTGGGTAAATTATACGTATTTTAGTTTATATCTAGCTTAGCTGGCTCAAAATTTACCTTGATTATTTATATATATGCGCATGTATAAAGTATCTATAGCTTGACTTTCCTAATCAAACTTTTTAATAAATTTGAGAGTTTTCCTATTGTACGTAAATTTGAGTAGTAGTTTAATTTCAAATATATAATGCATGGAAGTTGCAAAGAATGAATTTTAGCTAGTTCGTTGCCATATTATATCTAAACCTAACAAAATTAGCTCGGTGATATTTGACTATCAAAACCTAAATTCTTGAAATTGACTCGAAATGAATTCAATCCGATCCTAAAGTCATATATATATAGCCTAACACAACGAATAATGTTTTAATTAATGTGTACGATTTTAACCATAAAATGACACCTCCGCAATTTCATCATTTTCATTAAGAAAACACATAAAGCATTCTTAGGTGAATAGTAATATATACCCAATACATGCATTTTATTTGACACATATATGTACCAAAAAAGAAAAAGGAAAAAAAGGACTTAAGGACATGCATTACTACGACTCTAAAGTCCAAACAAATAAACGGCTCCACCTCTAAGCTGCACCCTACTTAAATCCAAGATTTTATCTCGAATAATAATCATCGTATATATATATAATATGCTTAAAAAATGAAATTCATTATTTCATGTAAATTATTATCAACGTAACTAACCTGTCTAGTGGTGTCTTCTAGCTTCACGTACTGCTTGTCTTATTTCATAGCTTCACATGCATCGATAGATATCTCTAGCTTCTTATTTCATTTCTATTATGGACTATTACTTCTGAAAACACAATTTTATTGAGTGCTTCACCGACACGGTTGCTATATACTTCGTATTATTAACCTAGGTAAATTATATCACTTTTCACTTTAATTTCTTCCCCGAACAATACGTGTTTTTTTTTATTCATTTTGACTTTTGACACAATTTATACGCTTATATTTGACCATATGTTTTCACAAATATATATAAACATATGTTTAGTATGAATGTATTGTTGAGTTGGCTATAATAAATAATTTCAAATGTCTTATACAAAGACATTTTTGCTGGCTACATACTCTTAGGGGTTGTTCACATTTACTGAACTGAGATGAACTGAACTGATTGGAGCTGAACTGAACTAAACTAAACTGAACTGAATTGAGCTGAAATGAATATTTTATGAGAGAGGAAAATTAGGAGTTGAACTGAAATGAGCTGATTGGAGCTGAACTGAACTGATTAGAGCTGAATTGAACTGGAATTAAGTAAATGTGAACAGACCCTTAGATAATTAATTTTGTTAATGATCAAGTATGTGTTTTAGTATATATGTGGCAGACCAAAATTGGTAATTAAGGTATCTTGAAAAGAGGGAGGCCACTTCTTTACAACATGTACGAGAATGAGATGTATCTATTTAGTTATATTCGATTCATGTAGATGATGCTTTGGTTGTTTGGGTTAGGTCCCCAGTCACTATCAAATTCTTAATGTAATTTCTAGTAATCATGAATGGCACATGTAATAATTAATCTAAAATTGTGAAGATAAATTTTAATTTCAAAATTTGTAAATACTAATCTTCTACGGAGTATGTGCGTATTAAAAAGTGTTCCTAAACAGTTATATTCTAACTAATATTTGCGTAGCGACGTAGCGTCTTCTTTGGTAAAATTGGGAAGATTATTACAAAAATAACTATTATTAATATAGTATTAACTAGTTTAGTAACGCCTTTTTGCGTGCGTGTGAATAGAGATATTTGCTTATAATTATTTTTAGGAGGCATCTCAATAAATAATTTAAAGTAAGGTTAGTGCGTAGGCTAATAATACTGTGATTGAATTGTCGATGCAAGAATTCTAATTAAATTATCATAATATCAAATGACATAATAAAACGTACATTTTTTTGAGGGAGTTGGAATGCAATTAAGATTAGGAAAGGAGAGCAAAAGGCAAAACACTATTTGTTTGTGTCGCGTACTTACGTACAAGCAAACACAATTTTAAAACTTTTTTTTGATTATTCCATAGAATAATAATGGCACTTATAAAGGTTAACAAAATATGTCCCTACTTTTTTTTTTTTCTAGGTAATGCAATGATGAATGAATCTAATTCAGCGCATTACCACATGGAGTTTCCCATGCATATCAACTTGCTACGACCCACCTTCTATTGATACAACAACGACAACCACAACAACAACTAATAATAACAAATAACAAATGACAAAAATTAAAATTGGATTGAGAAATTAAATTAAAAACTTAAACTAATTGACGGAACCACAAGATTTTCTTATCTCCCCTTGGTTGCCTGTGAGAACTCCAATCCTAGCCATCTTGACCATGGCCGGACCGAATTGGTCTAGGAATTGATTAGGACTTTTGGCTAGTCCGATAACTAGGCCTCTAGTAGAGGGATTTGATGCCAAGTTTTGATCAATCTCCATTACGCCGTTGTGTGCTAGAATTTGCTTGTAGTAAGCATTGTCAATCTTGAAGTGGCTATTTGTTGTTTGGTCTAGGAATGTTTCATTGTCAATTTTACTATTTAGAGGACATGTCTTTTGCAAAAGTTGGAGAAGAGATGGGCTAATAGTACAGTCTGGTTTTTTGGTATTTCGAAAATTATATAAACGCTCTTTGAATGAGTGACAATGTGCAGTTCCAACAGTATGTCCACCTGTAAGTAAAATGTATACAAAATTAACCATAAAAACAACTTCATTTTGATATAATAATTTTCAATTAGATCATTCAAATGATAGTTTATATTTACCTAAAAGTACGACGAAATCATGCTTGTTGAGTCCTTTCTTAGCAAACAATTCAATGGCTTGAGGTACTGGCATTGTTGGTGGAGGAATGTTTGCTTGTGCTTCATCTTTACGTGAAACAACTCCGTCTCTTCTTCCGGTTTCTACTTCATACCATTTTCCTCCTGCCTACATTCACACCAAGCAAAATTATGTTGGCATGTCCTTTTATCATTATTGCTTACTTTACCCTTAGAAAGTCTAGAGCTTGAGCATCCAATTAAACATATACGTACAACAACTAAACAAGTAATCCTTTATTAACTTACCAAGGAAATTGCAGCTCTAGCACCTATAACAAGAACATCTGTACAAGAGACGACTCCTGGACAAACCTTCTCAACTGCTTCCTTAATATCACTAACAGTCTTGATACCACCAAGCCCTTTATTAATTGGCGCTGTTTGTTCTGTATCTTTTCCATTGAGCAATATCGATCCATCACATCCCTTTATAATTGAATCACACAAGTAAGTGAAACATGTTTAATAAGCTATAAATTAAAATGAACAAGATTAACCTTGTAATAGATAATTAAAAGACTGAAGTAATTATGTAAGTTATAAGAACAAACCCTAACAAAGCAATCGTGGAATGATACACGAACAAGATCAGACACTGTATCTGGATTAGCAGTAATTTTTTGCTTAACTACATCATAAATGACCTTTTCAACGTTGTGTCCACCACACTTGCCATTATAAAAACCAACTTTAAGTTGTCCATGAGGACTATGAGCATGACAATGGGCAAGGCCAACTAGGGTTACTAATATGAGCCCAAGAAAGAGCATTGAAGATTGCGAGGTTCTCTTCATTGTCTCTAAATATACTCACGTACCTTTGTTTGTTATTTGAATCGACACAAAAAAAATATATATACACTACTAAGTTTAGTAGCTTGGTATAATGAAATTGAGTGAGCAACTTATCCACATTTTATAGTGAATTAAAGTAAAGTTTGGAGGTGTTTGGGTTGAATTTCCCTACGGGAGTTGTTATACAATTATAATCACGTGCTTAGCCATCAAGATAAAGTTGTCGGCTATGAATATTTAAACGTACGTAGCATGGTAAATATCAAACACTAGACAGCCGCCACCCTATGTACTATGTTAAATTTAAACCAAAATATTGCAGTTTAATAAACGTTGTAATTGTGTATTTTTGAAGGAAGTGTCTTGTAATAATTGTAAAAATTAAAATTTGAATTATTTTCATATGCTATGTGTTCCTACTTCGTACATTTTTGTCATGTTCGTTTCTGTATATCGTACGATTTCTTATGACAATTTATGTTAGTCGATCCCAAATTATTTTAAGAATAAGATTTTGTCGTTGTTGTTGATATGTTCCATGGTAGTCAGTGGCGGACCCAATTAAGTGACATGGGGGGACAGCTGTCCCCCCATTTTTAAAAAAAAATTTTAAAAAAAAAGTGAAAAAAAAAAAAGCAAAACGCGACAGAACGAAGAACAGCACTCAGTCTACAGTCTTCACTCCTCCAATTCGCCATTGCCTCCACTAGTCCACTGAGATCGACCGTCGAGGCGTGCGTCGCTGCTCCACCAACCAGGCAACCACCGCCCTGCGTGCGTCGCTGCTCCTCAGTTCCTCACCAGTCTGCCAGTCACCACAGCACCACTTCGGCAAATCGGCAGTTCGAAAGCCACTTCACTAGCTGCGTGCGCCGCCTGCGCGCTGCCTACGCCGGTACGCCCTCATCGTCTGACCTTCGAGCCTCGGCCGTCTTCGCTTCATCAAATCCATCAATGGTATGTCTTGCTAACCCTAATTCGAAATTCCCAATTTGAAATCCCCAATTGTTAACCCTAATTTCCAGTTTTTTGTTGAATCATTGTTAATTTTAATTGCAATCTTTGTTGAATTTTTATTTTAATTGCAATTTTAATCTTAGGTTTTATTAGTATGCAATGATGTGAATTGTGGAAATTGATATATATTTTTCAATTTAATTAGGAAATGTCAAATGATTCACCTAATTCAAACAAATCCAAGCCTACTAGAAAACAACCCGATCTTCGACAATTCATGTTTAAAAGAAAGAAACTCCATGAAAATGAGTCCAATAACTCCCCTTCATTAAGCTCCCCTCAAAGTCAAGAAGATGATTTGAAATGGGTGGTTCAAGTACTTGTAATGTACCATTGGAGGAAAATTTGGTATACGATGTTGAACTTCTTCCTCATGATCCGGGAAAAAGTATAAACATAATGGATTACCCCCCAAATGAACGAAATGCAGTTAGGAGGGGTTATATTCTTAAAAAACCTTGCCAACCAAAAACACATGACTTTCCTCAAAGACAAGTGTCTGGTTTACGTCGCTTTAGTGTTCATTGGTTCAAGAAATGGGATTAGCTTGAGTATAGTATTGAAAAAGATGCCGCATTTTGTTTTGTATGTTACTAGTTCAAGAATGAAGTTGATAGTTATTCGGGGGGTGATGTATGTTACTAAGTATTAACCAATTTGTGTGTTTGAGTTTTTTTTTTTGTTTTTATTTTTTGTTAAGCTTTTTGTAAGTTAAGCATTTTGTCCCCCCGAATTGAAAATCCTGGATCCGCCACTGATGGTAGTTGCATCTAAAGAAATACTAAACCGTATAGAATTTAACATGCCAAACTAATTAATTGATGATTATATCAATTCTTATCCGCTTTAATTGAGTGTACGTAAGAAAATAAAAGGCTTCATACCAAAATCATTTGGAATTAAAAGTCGCATCATAAGCCTTTTTGTTTAGAAGAACTCTCATCTTAAACATTTTTTCAACATACGTAATATGCAAAGAAATTTGGAACTCAACAAACTATTGAATTTTGAAGTGACAAGTGAAGGTATAAAAGTTAGTCACTCTATATGAAGTATAATATACATATGTAGTGCTAATTAATTCATTAATTATAAAATAATCTTGAAAATGGGCTGTGCTAATTATAAGTTAGTAACTAGATCAAACGTACACGTCGTGATTTCTAACTGATGCTGAGTTTCTTCCTCCTTCGTTAAAGTTTGACTTGCATGGAAAGATGAATGTACTTTAGGCATCTTTAGCCATCACCTATCGATCAAGACTTACTTGTTGCACAAACCTGAACTTACTCATAATTATTGTATGATGGTCATGATACATCATTTAGGGAATTTTAAAGTGCCCTACGTGATATTGTTATGTTAATTAAATAAAAGTTACTAAAATTTAGGTCCGTTTACTTCACCTTATTTTAGCTGAATTGAAATTATTTTTACTGAAATGAAATATTTTTTGCTGAATTTAAATTAATTATACTGAACTAAAATTATTTTTTTACTGATTTTCTATTATATTTCTTCTTTAAATTACTGATTTTTACTGAATTGAAATTATTTTTACCGACTTGAAATTAATTTTACTGTACTAAAATTACTTTTATAGAATATTATTTTTTTAAGGTGAAGTGAACAGGGCCTTATTTCAATTTTTTGGACTAGAAGAAATATGTTTCCACTCCCGCTACTAAATACAGAATAAATTACTTTCATTCCAAATAAAATACCTCATTTGACCATAAAATGTCCAACGAAATAATCGTTTAGGATAGAAGAAGTGAAATTAGTGGTCAAAGTTTGTTCTTAGGAGATAAGGGCGAGTGTCATAAATCATTTGCTGCATATGCATCCAATAATTGGTTTATTTTAGGCAAAACTACTACTCATATTATGGAATCACACGTCAATTGATTGTTACTGTATTTTTTTTTCTACAACTTGCAAATAAAATTGGTAATATAAGCTTTTCATCAATAATTGTAGACTCTAGATTGATGCTTTAACTTTTGATTGGAAAGGGCTGCAGCACGCAAATACAACCTACTTGCATTTTCGAATAATAATATTCTGTAATCCTCTTGTGTTTATCTTGTAAGATAAATCCGTTCAAAAAAAAAAATCTTGTAAGATAAATAAATAAATATTTGAATTGGCACATTGAAATTAATAGCCTCCAATGTACGCATCTAATGTTCAATTCGTTATAGCAAGTCCTAGTAACTTTTTTTATTAATAAAATTAATCAATAAATAAAGAGTCACAAGATATGTACATAAAATCATAAATATTCGAAAAAAATAATATATTGAATCAATTAAAAATTTTATGTGTGGAACATCTTTTGCTTATATGGGAAAGCTTATAATATACAACAATTTTGGAGACAGACAATCCAATGATTATTTTAGCCGTAAGGATGTTTTCATCTAACTGTTATCCATAAATTTTATAATTCATCACCAATGAAACAATTTTAAAGTATCTAAAAAAAAAGGAAATTCTCTCTTAAAAGAGGAGAAGTAAAGTAGAAAAAAAATCTTACTCTTAGAGAAGAAAAAATTAAAATCCTGTCTTTTGAGGAAGAATAATTTCTCCTTATCTAATTATTCTAATTAGGAAGTACGTACTCCCTCCGTTCTTTTATAGGAGCCTCATTTGTCATTTCTCTTTATTATGTGAGTATTAAATATTAAAAATGAAAATTTAATAAAAAGGAGGGAGTATTAGTCTAAACCAAACAAAAGCAAAGCAAAAACAAACACAAAAAAAAAAACAAAGATGATTGGGCTTTGATAGAATCCCTCTAAATTTAATTATAGAGTCTAGTGTTTTAAAAAGAGTAGATGGGAAAAAGAGGTTTTGCCTAGTAACTTATTTAATACTCTATACTCCGTACATACTCCACATAAAATCTGTTTATGAAATAACTACTCATATATACTACTCAGTATTTATTTAAGAGAAATTGTCAGAGTTATTGACTTACTCATATTTCTTATGCTCATTCATCTTTTTATATTTTCATTTTTTCTTAGCTTATCTTTTAACGAAAATAATACTACTTCAGTTAATTATTATGTACAATTTTAGAATAAATCATATCTCATAACTGTCATAAGTAATACTCCAAAGTTGCACATACGATAATAATTAACGAAGGTACTATATGTTATTATCTACAAAGTAAATATAATACGAGTGTCATTAATCAATATTACTAATGTATCGTTGTCCATTAATTAATTAATATGGCAAAATCATGTATTATCAATCCTTAACTAATTTCTATTCTAATAAAGAACTTTTTACTTTTCAAATATTGCCCAATAAAGAGAGTAGTTTGGTTTTCTGGGTCCTAAATCCTAGTCGATTATTGCGATAATGAAGCTGCATGTTGACTAATGCACGTTCATCCAAAGGAACGTTCCATCAATCTATGTTTTACATAATTGATTAATTGATTTTTTTTTTCAACCTACCTTTATCATGAATTGTACTCCACCGTTTTCTGGATTTGTATATTCCATTCATGTATCAATCAAAATAACACATGTTTCCCATTCCCCGTTTTAGATCAATGATTACTATTAGCAAAGCAAGGCTTAGAAGGGAACGTAACAATAAAAATTGTTAAGTTGTACTCCGTATTCCGTTATGTATTTTTGTTTATATGTTAATAGCAACGATTAGGTAAATAAATTTGTTCGTTTGTTCTGTAGTTTTTTAAGTATCCCGATTAAATTGACGTATTTTTTTAGTGCAAAACTTTTATCAATAATATATTTGATTAACAATAAGTATAAATAATAATAATAAAAAAAAAGATATTACAAAACTATGCTTATTATTTTTTTTGTTCGGAAATTACTTCCTCCGTTCTCTTAATATTGCAACAAAGTATTATTTTGACTTTTTAAATAATTTATATATACCTGAAGTCTTACCATATTATATACAGCGCTCCAATATGTGTGAAACATACCATTACTTTAGGGTTGCATTCTTGCAAATCAGATCCAAAAATATCACTCTCTTTATTGTTCAAATAATTGCAAAACACTTACCACCCCTAATGTTATTAGACATTTAGCCCTATAACCATCATTATAATTGTTATTGGCTTTGATGTCCATATATCAAATATGTAACCAAAGTTATTAAGGAGTAATATAGAAGACGCTGGAATCTAGTGATTACTGTTAAGGTTCATGGGTATATCCGTAAATAGTAAATTTGAAAATTTTAATAGATATATTATAAATAACGTGATAACTCAAGGTATCTTGTGAAAAAAAAAATAATAAAAAAAAATAAAAAAAAAAAACCACAGAAAGGTACTACATTTATATCGTGGGCTTTAGTCATCATTTACAGTATTGGGCTTCTGTGATTAATGAGCCCATCACAAGCCCAAGCCCATTACGACACAAGTATCAATTCGGTCTAACCTCTAATGGAGGTTGAAGAACAACAGCAACCATTACTCTCCATTTTAGGTACCTTTTCTTGTTCTTTTCTTTTGTAATTTTATATTTTCATGGTTTTCCTTGCATATAGTCGGATTTCATTTTCTTGGAAAAAATTGTTTATTTTGTTGATAGTACAATACGAAATTGTAGTTCTAATTTTAGGTTTCTGGGTTTGTGACTGTTGTTTAAAAGTTTGTAACTTTATGTTTAGTTGGATACTGGTCTAATCCACCCAAAAAAAAAAAAAAAAAAAAAAAAAAAAAAAAAAAAAGAGGAGAAATTAGGGAACTATTGGGAATTTAATATAAATGAATTTGATCATGTAATTGGGTAATGATAATAAGTTAATAACCTTTAAAGTAGAGTTTGGTATATCTGAAATGTTACTTAGTCATTTCTTGATTTCTAGTTTCAGGGTATTTCTGTTTTGGTGTCTGTTAAATGACTACTCTGATCATGAGCTACAATTTGTGTCTGATAAAACTACTTTTGGTCAATCACACTTGATTTCAGCATATGCCTACTACAGGTATTTGAAGATAATAAAGACTACTGCCCCTTTTTTTGGCCGATGTCTGGTCAAGAAATTTCGATTGTAAGCTGTCACCTTTGTACTAGCATATTGAACTTGTTTCGATATGTAAGTCATCTGTGAAATGATAAAACTCAACCGACATTATTTGTATTTGGAATTTACAAGGATCATAGATCCGTAGATTAACATCCATGCTGCTAAATGTATCAGACATCCATAAAGCATGTGAACTGTTGTGTGTGAATATTTTCTATCTTGATTTGTGGAAATTCAGCTTTTTTTGCTTGCCACAAAATGCTAGCACTCTATAGAGTAAATCGAAGATTAAAAATTGTTGGTGCATTCGTTTGCATTGCAAATGTTGAACTTTAGTTTCCTACATATTGTTGCTGTTTGCTGATGGTTATTCTTTACCAATTGTCAGAAAACTAGATTTAATTTGCAGAGAATGCAGGATACCAACTGGATTTTGGAGTCACCACTTTTCTCCTCTCCTTTTATTTTTCCTCTTCTGTAACGTTCAGTTGGCACAATATCATTAGCGATTTGATTATAAGCTGGCTGCATTTTTCTAATATGATGATGTTTACAGCTTCCTAATATTTCAATTAGTGAAGTAGTATAAATTCTATGTTTTGGCAGGATCAGCATACGAATCAGCAATTGATGACATTAGAGCGACTTATCCTATGGAGGATGCAGCTTGCACTCTATGTTTCTTTGTTTTCATTTTGGTTGGTCTAGGAATTGGATGGCTGGCATGAACTCGATCATTGCCTGTTGAACTTTTTCGCCAAATGTACTGCATATTAATGCATCTGTCAAGGCACACCCATGGATACTTGATGGCAGTGTAAATTCATCCCCTCTCAATAATATTTAAGCAAATTTCTTTGTTGTATCCTCTGCATCCCATCTAAACGGAATTTTTGGTCTTTTGTTTTCAGGGACCAACAAAAAGCCACTAAATTAATGAGTTGGTTCAGTACTCTATGGAATCTGTGTTCTTCACTTGAATACTTAGTATCTATCTGTTCTCTTCACCTTAGTTACACTTATTTCATGTCTAATAAGTTTAAATGCGATAAGGTCTAATAAGTTCATATATATGAGTATTAGATAAGGTCTAATAAGTATAGAATCTTTAGATACAATAAGGTAAGAGTTGATGAGTTCAGATAATAGAAGGACTGTTAAATTCAAATACTATAAGAGGTAATAAGCTCCAATCTAAAGTAGTATTCTCTAGTGCCTTTTGAAGAAGCTTGCAGAATTTCTTAAGCTCTTTCTGTGTCTTTTTCTGAAATTTCTAGTCAGAACTCGAAAATATGATCTCTTCTACTTACATGGAATGTGTAAAATTTGTTACTTAGTTGTTAGTTGAAAGGGAAACTTTTTTATCTGAATGCCAGTTACTATATCTAGTTTAGATCCTCACAGTTTCCCTTGTGCCGTCTTTCTGTATTATGTTTTGCTGCATTAGTGTTATATAGTTTAAAGAGTGTGCTTTCCGTGAGTCCTAATGTCGTTCTCCCTATACGAAATCTTCTTATCTTCTCATACAAGTGGAGTGTCTTCCCAGATTATGGTTTGCTTTAGGTATTATCATTTTCCTAAATTTATTTTCAAGGCTGTCTTTCAAATGGCTTTGGTCCCTGTGTCCCTGACACCCGTGACATGAGGTCACAAACTTCCTCAGTTCCTTGATATAACAGCATTAGGCTTATACATGGTGTTGGCACCGTCTTGTACTCTTAGTATTCAGTCACTCGAGCCAGATCATTTAGCTCCCCTTCTGTGACGGGCATCCATTCTCATGTGTCTTCTGATATGGCTTCACTGAGGTAAGTTATCAGTTATGCAGAAATTCAAAACCAATCTTGTAAAAGGTCAAATGAGGAGATATTGTAATTTAAAAAGTTAAAATATGTCTTAAACTTAATGTTACTCTTCTTCTGTGCAGGTCATGTTTTTTTAGCTGCCTTGATGAAAAGTTACTGAATGGGAAGATAGTACTCCATAGTTTGTAGCAATACAGATGGATCCTGAATTAGAAGGCTCGAAATCTGGTGCACTTGGTGTCATGGCGCGAGCTGCTCTTGAAGATATGTACAATTCATCTTAATGTTTCATGGTCAATCAATTTTTGCTGATTTAGAGGTGGTATCAATTTATGGATTATTCAATATAATCACACGCAACTAGAGCAATATACAAACATATAACCAACTAATGACTTTGTAAAAATAATTAGTGATATAGGTAATATACGGAGTATATATCTTGGATTGTTTATTTTTAATTCAGAAGAAAGAACAAATTAGACCATTTCTCCCAAGTTAATTACTGTATTTTCATAGCAAACTTGTAAAATAAAATAAAGCTAGTGTTATCTACTTAGATAAGACTGAGAGCACGTCAATAGGCACTTCTATCCCACTTTCAGTAACAATCGTGTGCACAAGTTAATAACAAATAAAAAGTCCACTTCATATTTTGAATCAAGTTTAAGGCTCTTAATTTTGCTATATATACTCAAAGATTTCATTGTTTTTCTCCACACTACAATACATAATAGCAATTCTAGTAGTAAAACTTTTCTAAGTAGCAAGTTATGGCAAGAGCAAAATCATCGACAATGGCGCTAGCCCTTGGGCTACTAGTGATGACCCTTGTTGGGGAGTGCTATGGCCAATGTGGTGACAATTTCAAGGTTGGTTACTACGATGGCAAGTGTGGCAAAGTCAATGTTGAGGCCATTGTTTTCCAAGTCGTCAAGAAGCATTTCAATGAAGACAAAGATACCATTGCTGATCTTATTCGCTTGCAATTTCATGATTGCTTCGTTAGGGTATGTGCTTGATCATTCTAAGTTATATTAAACCCATTTCCTAAGCTTAATCTGTTATAACTTATTTAACAACGTGTTTCAACTTTATATAAACAGGGATGTGACGCCTCAATTTTACTAGAAGGTGAAGACACAGAGAAAACTGCACGTAACAACCTTAGTGTTGATGGTTATGATATCATTGAAGATGCTAAAGTTGCCCTTGATAAATACTGCCCTGGCGTTGTCTCTTGTGCTGATATTATCGTCCTAGCAGCAAGAGCTGCTACGTACTTGGTAAGTCTATACCCCTTTTGTTCCACTTGACTTGTAAAATTATTTCGCGTATTTTATTAACTCTTCTTTACCATGCGTATACAGGGTGGAGCAGAATGGTACGCAGTCGAAACAGGAAGAAAAGACGGTCGCACATCACTAGCAAGTGATGCCAAGCAGCTTCCAAGACGCGATATTCCAATCCCTGCTGCTGTCGATTTGTTTGCCAGTTTTGGATTAGACACACACGATTTCGTTTATCTTTTAGGTAATTAATCACTCTGAGATTGAGATTTCAATGTAAGTTAATTGCACGGTATTTTTGTAACATATAATTAACTAACTATCGGCGAATGAATATATAATACAGGTTGTCATACTGTTGGAACTGCACACTGTGAAAACATCGAAGACCGTCTATACAACTTCAATGGGGGAGCAGACCCTACCATGAACTCTGATTTGGCCTCTTCTCTAAAAATGAAATGTCCTCGCAACGCTAACTCGACCGAGGAAGCATTCCTTGACCAAACTTATGGTAGCGAATTCGTACTAGACAATGCTTACTTCAAGAGAATAATAGAAGGCAAGGGAATTCTTAAAGTTGATCAAGAATTGGCTCTGGATCCTTTGACTAAGGACATTGTCATCCAAACGGCTGCCGACGAGACGATTTTTAGAACTAGAATTGGTCCATCTATGCGCAAAATGGGTTTAATTGGAGTTCTTACCGAAGGAGAAGTTAGAATTGGAACTTGCAAGAAGGTTCGCTAAGGAGTTTTGTTCATCACAAATTGGCTAATTGCCTAAAGTGTCACTAATTATATTAACAATCATTTGATTGATACCTTAATTACTTCATTATTATTGCATGTTAATGAGGGTTTGTTGTATTTGTTCAAGTTTAATTTCTTTTGATGTAATGTTATGTTTCTCCCATGTTGGGAATTATTGGTGTCTCCTAGGTATTAGGGGATTAAGTTATTATGGTATGTAATTGTATTTCAAAAACTGATTCGAATCACGTCTATTATTTGATCGAGTTAACAAGTTCTTTGAAGGTAATTTTTCAAACTAATTAAGGTGACTTTATGGAAAGGGAGAACATTTTTTTATAAATATAAAATATAAAAATCTATCTTGGCCTTAGCACATTTCATGTGCGACAGGCCACACTATATATGTGGTCATTTGTAATAACAAAGTAGGGAGAAAACCTTTTTTCTATGAGAAATTACACTTCAATACCTTTTTTTTCTTTGGTAAGGAGAATTTTCTTACAAGTAGAGAGAATAAAACTCCTCTCACAGAGGTGAAAGGAGAGTCTCAAACTAATTAGGCCAAACTTAATTCTCATCATGGTAAAAATTGTTACAAAAGATGGTTTGATGATATTTATTTTTGTCCAACGAATAAAGTATTATTAGTTACATTACATATATAGATCAGTTCAAAAGAATTTGCCAAAAATATAGTCCAAAAGTAAAGGAAATTGATTTATTGATTATTACAAACAATAACAATCAATTTATAAGAAATGATAGAAAGGTTTTTTTTTTGTTTTTTTTTTTGAAAACTTATACTAGAAATTAAATTAGTTCATAGATCCGTGACCAAATTATGTTAAACGATCTAAAAGTTACCATCTCAATGATGACGACTTTCTAGTAATTAATCAATTATGAATTTGTTCCTCAAAAAAAAAAATGAATTTGTTATTGTAATATTGTGAAGGGTAACCAACTCCTTTCTATGAATATTACATCACTTGCTAAGTTTCACAAATATTGAAATATCTCACTGACAGTTTTCAACTAATTAATTAATAGAGAATTTAGCAATATTAAAAGAATATGTAATCCTATGTTTATGCATGGATAATTAATCGAAAGTATAGCTAATAAACTTCATACACTAATCTGTATGTAGCACTATAATATTACAACGTTATCAATAATTCCTCTTTGAATGCTTATTGGTAACCCTGATTATGCATTTTAAATAATCCCAATTTTTATTGCCAACAATCATATTATTTGAACATGTCACGGAATTGAATAATGGTATGGCGTGTGGCATATAAGAATGAGTATTTCGGTATTTTCTAAAGGAAAAGTTGGTGTATAAATAAATAGTTTAAGTTAGAAAAATAAAACAAACACTTACTAAATGATCATTTTTTGTTTAATTATTCTCATATTATTTGACCTAACTCGATCGGTCTAGATGACTTAATCAATGAAAACTAAAGTAACACCCTCTTTTGGCTACCGTAATGAATTATGTCCTGAGAATAATTATATTTATTTAAGACTAGGGGTGTTTGTCTCTTCAGAAACATCTGATAAAATTGGAATGATATAGAGAGTTAAGACAAGGATAATTAAAAAAAAATCCTCATATTATCTTAGCATTGATCGATCTTTCCGATTAATAGCCGGCTATTTAAACTATACTTCATGGAAGCATAAAAGAATTGTAAAACTAATAATGTAGATAAAATATGATCTCAATAAATCTTGAGTAGTTACATTCCAATTATGCATTTATATAAACAAAAAAAAATGGGCTTACAAAAGATAATGATATCAGAATGCCGGTCATTTCACATAAAATTATCAAGCTGACTATTCTTCTTAGCTAGGCATTAGCTATAACAGCTATGTAATTGACTAAGTAGTGCGTATCAGAACTAGAGATCTTGGAGTAGGCATTACCTTGAAACCAAATAATGCACGTTAATTGTGGCACAACTAGCCAACTCTTCATTAAACGTGACAACAAGTTACCAAATTATAAAAGCTTTATAATTCAGCTATATTTACCCCTAGAATTCATACATTTTCTTCAAACAACAAAAAATCAAAAAAATAATAATTCTAGTTTAAGTGTTAAAAGAAGATATGGCAAGAGTGAAATCTTCAACGGTAGCACTAGCCCTTGTCCTCCTTCTAATGACCCTTGTAGGGGATTGTTATGGCGCCCTTGAATTCGGCTACTACAAGAAGAGATGTACCAAAGTCGATGCTGAGGCCGTCGTCTTCTCCGTTGTTAAAAAGCATTTCAATGAAGATAAAGATACCGTTGCTGATCTTATTCGCTTGCAATTCCATGATTGTTTCGTTAGGGTGAGTACGTGACAACTAACGTTCATTAATAATTTAAATTAATTATTACAAACCTTGTTATATTTTATGTACGTAGTATAATAATGCATGTATTGATTAAAAATAAAATGTAGGGTTGTGATGCATCAATTTTGCTTGAGGGTCAAGGGACCGAGAAAACTGCACCCCCAAACCTAAGTGTTCGTGGTTTTGAAATCGTTGAAGAGGCAAAGGTTGCTCTTGATAGACGATGTCCTGGAATTGTCTCATGTGCTGACATTATTATCCTGGCCGCTAGAGATGCTACATTCTTGGTAAGCCACTAAGCCTTAATGTTAAACCTACAACATTTAATTTTACCTTGTTAAATAATAATATATGTATGGCCTCTCAAATTTACAATTTGATAAAGTCAAAAGTTAAACAAGGGAAACATGCAACATATAAGTCTTAAAATTAATTACATATTGTTTAATTTTCTTTGCTAATTCTACTCTACTCCAGGGTGGAGCATCTTGGTACAAGGTAGAAACTGGAAGGAAAGACGGTCGTATATCAAAAGCGAGTGAAGCACTTCAATTGCTTCCAAAGCCAAGCATCCCAGTCCCCCAAGCTGTTAAATTGTTTGCTCAACACGGCTTAAACACCGAGGACTTTGTATACCTTCTAGGTAATTATTCGTGTTCATAGGAGGCATGTAACACACACAAGAATTACGGGTTTCATAATGAACAATACACTTTCGTACGTATAGCTTAATCATATATAACAATATATAGTAATTTAATCACGTCGTATACATATATTTGTTATACAGGTTGTCACACTGTTGGAACTTCACACTGTGACAATTTCCAAGACCGTCTATACAACTTCCACAACACTGGGAAACCAGACCCAGCCATGTCCGGTGGCTTGCTCAAATCCCTAAAGAAGACTTGTCCACGTAACACCGTGTCTAACAACGAGACATTCCTTGATCAAACTAAGGGAAGCGAATTCGTTATGGACAATGGTTTCTTCAAGAAAATAATGAAAGGTGAAGGTATTCTAGAAGTTGATCAGCAATTAGCTATTCATCCTTTGACTAAGGACATTGTTAGAAGAGCTGCTGAGGACAATAGGGTATTTACGACGAAAATCGGTCCGGCTATGCGCAAATTGGCCTTGGTCGGAGTTAACACTAATGGTGAGGTTAGACTTGGAACATGCAAGAAGGTCCGCTAGAAATATTCGATTATTAATTAACCACATTTTTTTAACTTACATTCATTTGATTGTACCTTGATTATTTCATTGTATTGCTTCAATTATTTTAAGGAATTTTTGTTTGAATTCGTTATGTACTTGTTCAAGTGTTTTTTCACTGTTATACTAATGCAATATTGTTAATAAGATTACTATAGTTATTGTTGTGTCTTTAATTACTTCCTTGTGAATAATGTGGAATTTTAAATCTTATGATGAAAAGATGTTTTATCTTGCTATTGATTTTGATAGGAAAACTCAAATAACATACATAGGAACATTAGTACTCCCTCCGTCCCCGAAAGAATGACCTGTTTGGGTTGATTACGCGAGTATTAAAACAGTTAAATAAAAAGAAGTAAAGATATATTGAAAAGATAAATTTACATGGGGTTTGTAAAAAAAATAGAGAGAGAAAGTAATAAAATTACATGGAAAATCAAATTTTTATATGGAGAAGCTATTTTTACACAAATATTGTTGTAAATTGGTGGGTGTTTTAATGTAAATGGGTCATTCTTTTTGGGACTAAAATTAGGCCAAATGGGTCGTTCTTTCGGGGACGGAGGTAGTAATTAATAACGCCATTATTTCTAATGCTAATGTCCTTCCATAGTTGAAAGAGATTGTTCGAGGATTATTGGTGGTGATAGAACGGACTAAATCTTTTGGCAAAGGGCGTAAATGAATTCCTAAACTATAGTCATAAATGATGACACATGAAAAAAGCTAAGATAACATAAAAATGATACTCACAATCATGTACACTATTAATAGCTTTGCACCAAAAAAAAAATGTACACTATTAATAGCTAGCAACTTAGCAAGTTTGGCCTAACAAGTCTAACACGGTTATTAGGCCCAAAAACATGTGATGAGTTTCAGGTTAAAGGTTGTGAAAAATCGACAAAGACAAAACAACTATTCCGTAGTACATACAACTCTGTAGAACCTTTCTATTACATACGTAGTATAAAATTTCAAGAGACTTGCCCTTAGCTAGAAGGCCTTTCATGAGTCATGACTAACCTTTAGACTTCTACATCCCATTGTTATGTTACTCTATTTTAAACTTATATTTTTTAAAATAAGTGAAAATAATAATGTGAATAAATTGTAACTTTAGGGTCTGTTCTCATTGATTGAACTCAGCTGAACTGAACTGAACTGAACTGAGCTGAACTGCACTGAACTGAGCTGAGCTGAACTGAAATGAATATTTTATAAGAAAAGGAAATTAGGAGCTGAGCTGACTGAACTGAACTGAATTGAATTTCAACGTAAGAGAACAGACACTTAGAGTAGTTCGTTTATATTATCGCCCAATATATTATTTCAAGTTTCGATCAGCTAGCAAATAAATGCGAAGCACAGGGTGAGGAAATTCTTGAATAATGACACCACAGCTACAGACAGAACAAGTCACATGGACAATTCATTAAGTATCTTCCTCAAGACAATAACCCAGTTTTTTAATCTTTATTTCTTTCGTATGTTATTTGCTCAGAGTATTCAGCAATAATTTAAAGTACTTCGTTTTTTTTGGGTATTAAATTGTACAAGTCCTTCGTACATTACTTCCTGTTTTCTTGTGGAGAATTTGTAGTGCAATTGTGCGAATACTCGGCAAAATCTGAGTCAGATTAAACAATTGAAACACCAATTCAACAATCTACTTAAATTTAATGGGGAGCCTATTTCAAATGTGGTCTAATTTTATTGTGCTTTTTATTTTATTTTTTTATATGCAGTACAATACATTAATTTATTATTTTATACTAAATTAATCGAAATGTACTTAAATACTACCCCCTTCCTTTCTGAATGTCTTCATGCTTTGATTTTTAGCACAACTTTAATTAGTATTTTTATGCTATTATATACTACCTCTATTTCGTATTAGTTGCAACTTTAGAATATTTTATATCTCACAAATAATACCCCAAAGTTGCAACTAATAAGAAACGGAGGTAGTAAATAAAATGTTAATAAGCTAAGTAACATTTTGGATTAATCTTGTTGCACATCGTTGTAAACTTGTAATATAATGTTCATAAGAACTTATTTTTGTTCTAAATTCAACTTGGATAGCTAGCTTTTATTAACCTTTATGGCAACTTATTTATCTTTCATGATCTGAACTTATCTTGTTTATGTAAATTTATTACTCTCTCCGTGTTTTAATAAGTGTGACACTTTGATTATAGCATAATTTTAGGCAATTTAATTGACTTAGATAAAATAAGAGGTAAATGAGATATTTTAAATATTAAAATATGGTAAAAGAAATATAATAGGGTAAGGAGCATCTACAATGGCTAGTAACACCTCCTTACAATTTTGGGCTGATACATTATTATTCTCAAACTCCATTATTTAATGTACAACGTTTATTCAATCAAAAAGATATATATATATATATATATATATATATATATATATATATATATATATATATAAACAGTAAAAATAGGAGAAAGTAAATGCATAGAATACACATTATCTAATCAAAGTGGCTTTGGGTATAGTAAAATTACATAGTTTTGCAATCCTTGTACCACCACATTGGCAAGGAAGCTGAGTCCCATTCATCTTCATGATAAACAAAATTTGTTTATTTAATGACATTTTTGTAAATAAATTATCAAAAAAATATCAGTCAGCATGACATTTTTGTAAATAACTTAACAAATTTTATTAATATGCGAGTCCCACAAATGTTAACTTATTTACGAGAATGTCATGCTGACTGAGATTTTTTGTTAATTTATTTACAAAAATGTCATTAGATAAACAAATTTTGTTTATCATCAAGATGAACTTGTCTAGGCTAGCTAGTAGCTCTAACTATTAAGAAATTTCAAGCAAAGACTTATTATCAGCCATTATGGATATTCTAATAGTTTATTGAAAATTAATGAATGTGACATGAAATTAATAAATAAATAATAATAATAATAATAATAATAATAATAATAAGTAATGAAAAGAAAGATACTCCTTCCGTCCCTATATGATTTTCCCATTGACTTTTTACGATCTCCAAGACGTGTCTAAAAACGTCTATGTCTCATTTTTTCATACGAGTAAAAATTATAAAAATTTGATGTTAATAAAATTTACAATATGATGAATTCAATAAGATTCCCATGTGATGATTTGAACATATAATCCCTTATGATTAACGAGAATTTATGGTCAAAATTTTTAAAGTTTGACCCAAATATTCAAAATGGGAAAATCATATGAGAACGGAGGGAGTACAATATTAAAATATACTTGTAGGTTTTTGTAAACAAAAAAAAAAACAAAAAAAAACATGCAAGATGTATTATAACACTTGTTAAACGAGTAAATATAAAATGTGGGTACTAAATTTTGCCCAAAGTTGCAAATTAGGTACTCAACTTTGCTTTGTTGCAAGTTGGGTACTAAACTTGGGTATTGCCTGAATTTTGACCTTTAACAACAGGTTAACAGGTTACCAAACATTAATAACATAAAAAAGAATTAAAAAAAAAAAATTAAACTTCAATTGAATTAATTAACCAAAAAACTCATCTTTTCTCAATTTTCTCTCTCCTATTCAACCTTTTTTAGCTCAACTTTCTTTCTCTCCGACCTTAAAGAAACTAATTCAAGGTGAGTTTCGTCGGATTTGTTGGGTTTTCATAGTGTATTCCGTTGAATTTGTGGGGGGTTTCGTGAGTGCGTTTCGTGGCTTGGGTTTTGTGAGGTTGGTTGGAATTATGAGGGCGTTTTTGCGAGGGTGTTAGCCTAGGTTTCGTGAGGGTGGTGGCCTGGGTTCATGAAAGTGGTTAGATTTTTTAGGGCTTTCATGGGGGTGGTTGAATTTGTGGGTTTTTCGTGAGGGTGGTCGGATCTGTGGGCGTGGGATTCATGGAGGTGGAAATTTCGTGGGGGTGTGGATGCAGTGGTAGTCAAAGAAAAAAAATTGTTGATTTTTTCTAAATTTTTTTTCTGTTGTTTAGTTGATTTTTTTCTACATAAATGGCAATTCAAAATCTCCCATATACTAAAAACATCAATCAAAAGTAAAATACTTTTCACTTCAATTCATTATCCCAGACAACCTACCTACTAAAATTTAAAACCTCAGTAACCATTTAAATCAATTTTGCATCTTCAATGGTTAAAATAGATAAACAAAGAAATTTACCTCCACTAAAAATTGTGCCAGTTGTAATCTGATCATCACTAAAAAATTCGCGAAATTAAATAAAAAAAAAATCGAATTGCACCAATAATTATGTGCAAATATCAAAAGTAGAAATGTTGAAAATATTACTGCATAATTGAAAATTAAATGGAGGTTTGTTAATGGAGGAAGAGAGAAAAGGAGGAGAGAGAGAAAGAGGTTGAGTTATTTTAGTTTTTTTCATTTAATAGAATGCAATATGGTAACCTAATAGTGTAGATTACTTGCCAGAAAAGAAGATTCAGGCAGGTCATATTACCCAATTTGCCAATATTGAAAGTTGAGTATCCAATTTGCAACAAAGGCCAAAGTTGAGTACCCAACTTTTATATTAACTCCTTGTTAAACACACATAGTGACATAGCACCTATTTTCATTTATGTTCAAATTTTACATTAATATACATGTAAAAGAAAACATTCCACTTATTTAAGGACCAACTCAAAATCACTCGCAAAAATTAAGATATAAGGCAACATTAAGCAACGATGTGACTAAAAGAATTACTCACACCTTGTTGATTTGAAAAAAACCAACAAAAAATGGTGGGAAAGAGGGGAAAACGAGTAAAGTTGACCCAATAAAAAAAGGGTGGCTTAAACTTTTGTATAATTTTCCGTAAGACAGGGCCAAATTCAGAAAGTGTGACAGAGGATTTTACAAAAAGGAAACCTGATTAACCCTCTCTCTTTCTCTCTCCTCTCTCTCTCTCTTCTTCCTCTGAGAATTGATTGAAGAAGAGCTTCACTTTCTATCTCCAATTTGAATGACATGCTTCTTCAATTACTTTCCAACTGATTTTGGGAATTATTTCAGGTTCTTTTTCTATTTTTATTATCATTTTTTTCCGCACTTTTCTCTTCTTTTTGTTATTATTATACTCTTATTCTTGTCATTATAATTACAATTATTACATTTTTTGTTTCTTTCCTTTTGGATTTTTTTTTTTTTATATATATACATAATCCCAAAAATACCCAACGTTTTTATGTTTCTTCAGGATTTAATTTCGCAATTTCAGGTTTTGTTTCACATTTTGAGAATCACCCTCTAGATTTTAGGGCGGTTGTAAGACAATGTTCTATATTTTAGGAAGAAGGGTTTTTAAATTTTGGGTAGTTTCTTTTCAATTTAGATAAAATTAATAGGGAAATTTACCAATTTATTCTTAAATTTCTGATATTTATTGTCTTTGTAATTGCACTACTCTTAATTTTCACATTTATATACAAAAGTTCTTGTCTTTAACTTTTTTTTTTTGATGAACAATTGAACATATCCTGTTCATTTACCAGATTTTTCTGGGATCGGGAATTTTATTTTTGGATATATGAACAAAAAAAAAAAAATTTAAACTTGTAGTATTAATTATGGGGTAGTTGTCATTGACAAATTCTAGGAAACCATCGCATTTCACTGGGTTGACTACTCGCACGTTCTTTTCTTGATTGAGCTTTCTTATTTTATGTATTAATCTATACTTTCGGTTTTTTTAATGTTAAAGAGATTATACATTAAGATAGAATTAGATTAAATTAGTTTAATTGTTGATGATTATCGAGTAATTTGAACACTAATTGTGGACTGACACGGTCATTAGCTACTTGTTGGAGGCCACGCATGACACATGTAGTTGCACAAATGCCTGCGGCTGGCGACGTTACTTGGTTTTATTGGACCTCTTCTATACGTGTTCTATCTTGTTATTATTATCGTATAATTTAATGTTGTTAATCGTTATTTTATTGCTCGTTGTACTCCCTCCGTCTTTATTTAGTTGTCACATTATACTATTGATTTCGGGCTGAGGAAAGGGGTAATAGACTAGTAGGGGGATGTTGTATAATGAGGGAGAAATTTCCTTTGAATTCACTAGTGGAGACCTTGGATAATTGGATGGAAATAACTTTTGTGCAATTGTACAAGGAAGTTGATGTTTGTAAGAAGCTTGATTTTACGCATACACCAAACATTGAGATGTTAGAGAGTTAATAACAATGAGAATCATAAGGAGTTTGAAGAAATAAATGGGTGTTGTATATGCACCAATGAGTTAGAGCAAACCGTATGTGTCTAGCAACTATTTACAGCAAATTATTAGTTGATATGATGAGAATTTGAGGGAGACAACAACGGGTCTAACTGTGTGTCCTCTAGATTGTTAATAGCTACTCTTTTTTTTTTTTTTTTTTGAATAGCTACTCTTTTGTTGTACCTAATAGGCTAATAGACTCTTCTGATTATCATGTTCTCGAGTCTGTAGGTGAGAGTCGCGAGACTTATATTTGCTTGGTTTACAAGTATTTTGCCGGTATTTTCCCATGTTGAAAACAACTAATGAATATGTGTGCTCGATTATTCCCTGTTTATTAGCAACAAAATAGACACAATGTATCATGACTCATTAGTTTATATGCTCTTAATTGCTTACATGTTAGTATTTTGAGTTGAAATTTGTGAAACCTTGATCTCATTTGCTTATATTTTTTAACAAGAAAAATTGATTCACAATCAAAAGCTCATGTCTAGAGCACCCTAGCTAAATAAATCAATTTAAATAGCTGAATTCTTAACTCGTCTTAATTAGTGAGGGTATAGAAAGAGTGTTGATCTGCTTCTGTTTCCCTGGTTATTTCAGTGGCTGCCGAGGGGTTTAGATTTTAGTTTCTGTTTGCCAGATTTTGGTTTTGTTGTTTGTATCCCTGCTTGTTGTTAGTGATATTGTATATCATTATAGCTTTGTGCTGCAAATTTTTTACTGGTATTCTCTTTGATAATGATGCTTTTGTGAGTGCATATCACTTCGGGTTATGAGAACTGTATTTGCAACAATATGCACATGTGGGAATATTTTTCGAAAATACCTTTGAGAAGTTAATGATACATACTCGTATTACAAACTACTTAGTATTTATTACGGAGTACTAATTAATGACAAGGGGCTCACTAAAGATTGATAACATAAAAGGAACTGCTTTTTGTTTGTGTTATGAGAGATGTAGCTACATTCTTTCCTTTCTTATTCCCTCTCTTTCTGTGTTAAGTGAAGTGTGTGATGTTAAGTTGTTGAAATGCTTATCTGCTATTAAATCTGTTTGCAGGTTAAATTTCCAATAGCACATTTCCCCTTGATTGGATCTTGTTCTCTCTAGGATAGCAAGTTGAAAGAAATGGCTACTTCATCAGTAAGAAGTTATACTATCTCCGTTTTTATTTGGATTTTCTATGTGTCAAAATAACAGGATTTTCTCTTACCTAATTGTGAAGGTCCTTATCTTTGCTTTCTTTTCTTGTAAAACTCTGATGTACACCATTAGGTTTATCTTTTCTGTCTATGCTACTGTATTACTCATCTTCAATCACTTATTAATTTACTATTATGGGAATCTACAACGTAATTATTGTCTTTTATGGTAGCGTGACAATTCAACTATTGTTTTCATCCTATGCTCTACCGTAGTGTTTCATGATACTAGAAAAGTAGAAAGTGAAACACTGTATTTATGAGAGGACCCTTCAAGATATCTAATATCTGTCCAATAAGAATTTTCTTATTAAAAAAGGACCAAGAGTATATCTTACTCTTCAGTGTAGATGTTTCATGACAGATCCACCCAATTCTCATGTGACTAGTCATGATATTGATTTGTTAATGATCTTAGGTATCTTCAAAGAGTCCTTTTAAAGGATCAGAATCTAGAAAATCAAGTTCTTGGTGGTGGGAAAGTCATGTTGGAAGGAACACAAAATGGCTTGCTGAAAATTTAGAGGGTAAGTAACTTATGCACTTGGCTTTAAGCATTTTCTTTTATCACACATTTCTTCCATCTAGTTAGCTACGCCACTTGATATACCACACAATGTATAATCATTGGCATTTTAGCATCTAATTCCCTATGTGGTATCAAGTTATGCTGGTAACTGAAATGCGTTGTCCGTGGAAATTGGGATTTTATGCCTCAGCATATAATGCTCTGGCAGTATATAAAGTAGCATTGTGGAAGGCCAACCAGCTCATTCCCAAGACTGATGTAGTCTAGGAGAAATGCTAGGGAAGGGCTTAGTTTGCACTTTGCAGTCAAGCACCACTTTTAACCTTCCCTTCCATGAGGTTTGAGATAATGATTTTTGAGTCATCATCCTCATGTTTTTAATTTTTCATATTTTTTTGCTTTCCTGAAAACCATCATGGGAAACATGTTAGCTGGATACTGTGTTGTCAATCTATTTGGATGACCGGATTGCAAACTTGCAATTGACTACTACATCCAAATTTTTGTGCTAACTTGGCTGCTTTTGCTTCTGTTTTTGAAAGACTTGTAGCATCTTAATGCTTTTGAATCAATTTGTATAGTTTAGACCTTTTTATTTATGTCAATTCACATTATGTAATCTCAAAGGTATAGCACTTTCAATGGCATGCTTCTCGTATAAATAGATGAATTTACTAAATTGATCGATGTCTTATTGTATTGTGTCCAGTGAGTAAATAGATGAATTTACTATATTGATCTATATGCCAATGATGTAAAAGATTCCAATTTTAAATTCTGTGGATGAGTGCATTTACAACTCAGTACATGGTGAGAACTGAACAGTTAAGTCTTAAGATAGTTGTAATGATGACTTAAATCCTTTTCTGCAGAGATGGAACAACATTACAAACGTATGCAAAAGTTGATTGAAGGGGATGGAGACTCGTTAGCAAAGAAGGCTGACATGTATTATCAGAAGAGGCCTGAATTACTATCTCATGTAGAAGAGTTCTACCGGATGTACAAGTCACTTGCTGAGCGTTATGAACATTTGACTGGAGAAGTGCGGAAGAACATTCCGGCTGACCTACAATCTCAGGGGTCCATTGGATCAGATGCCAGTGCTGATGTGACTTCTATATGGTCCCCTCAGGATCAAAAGTTTATCCATCGGAAATCCGGTCCTCGAGCTGCTGGCTTTGACTTTTTTCTTGGTCCTAAGAAAAGTAGCAACGATCGATCTGCAAAAGGAGATGAAACACCTTCAGTATCAGACTCCGAGACAGAATTTTCAGAATCTGATGTGTCCTCTTTATACAGCTATACTGGAATATCAGTGAACACTGGTGAAGAGGAGGTGCAGTCAAGGCCTTTGGAATCAGAAACTGAGAGTTGTGATGTGGAGAAGATGCAGGTGCAGCAGCATGAGAATCGTAATGGATCCTTGAGGAAAATCAGTAGTGGCAATTTTGATGATGTGCATTCTAAGATTGCAGATTATGAAGAAGAATTGAAATTGGCAAGGCTTAAAATTTACCAATCAGAAGAAGAAATAGCTAACTTGAAAATAGAACTCCTGAAATTCACCAGCAATTCGCTAAATGAGTATCCTGGGGTGGAAAATAGTGATTCCACGGAAAAGTTTGATCAGGAAACGGGTGAAAGTAATGTGCTAGAAATAGATGTTTCTCAACCTGAACAAAAGATCCGGACACTATCTGAAGAGTTGAGAATCACAAAGGGGAGACTTCAAGCTTTAGACAAAGAGATGGCACTTTTAAGAAAAGAGAACAAAGATTCTTCTGACAACATACGGAAAATGCAGGATCTGCTTAAAATGGCTCAGAAGGAAGCTGCTACATGGAAAGCGAAGATTGAATCTGAGAAACGACAGGCAGCCAAGTTGCAAGAAAGGATTGCAAGGTACAAAACTAGTTTAACAGATCGAGAAAATGAGGTCCGGGATTTGAAAGAAGTGATCTCTGATGCTAATCGTAAGTATCAGCTTCATGCTGAAATAACTAGATTGACTGACGAAAAGACTCGCTTGGAAGAGAAGCTTAGGGAATGGGAAATGACTTGTCATTCTCTGGAAACCCAGCATGGGGCACTGGAGAAAAAATTAAATGATGAAATTGAACACCTGAAAGCGGATATTACTGATAAGACGTTTAGGCTAGAAATGCTGGAAAGTGACCTTGATGCATACAAGCTAAAATATGAAAATCTTTCAAGTGAAAAAGATGAGCTCAACACTGAACTGAGTGCAAGAAATGACCAAATTGCTGAAATGGAAAAGCGTCTGCAACAGCTGGTTGCTGAAAAGGACGAAACAAATATAGTGGTACAGGATTTAAATTTAAAAGTTGAGGAACTGCGAGAAGAGGTTGAGAGACAGAAAGCCTCGATGTTGGAAACTGCTGAAGGAAAAAGGGAGGCAATCAGGCAGTTATGTTTCTCCCTTGAGCATTACAGGAATAATTACCAGCACCTTCGACAAACTTTCACAGGGTTCAAGCGGCTTCATGCTTTTGCATCTTAATATTTTTTGCTTTCCTGGATAGAGAGATGTGAAGACCTCTTTTTTCCTGAGGGTTTGCATATAGATCTATAAGATGGATTTCCATTTCTTCATTGATTTTTGTACATATATCATCAAGGAATCGGTTTTGGTTTTCTTCTTGTTCCTTTCTTGTTGGTTTTGAAGAATCAGAACTCTTGTCATGAGCATGCTCACTTATTAGGTTAGTCATGGCCGGCTTGCTGACCGTCATCTTGATGGAACTCAGTTTAGCGTGGACAAACAGCAGCTTTTACTCGTTTAACTGTATAAGGTTGGTGATTCTTTGTCACTGGTATATTTCGGATGTTTAATACAAAGTACTTGGTATTTAACTTTTTGGACAGACCTTGAATTAAACTTGTTTCATCTTATAGGATATTTCTACTCTACTCTGAATTTCTGAGAGGTGAAGTGGAGCTGTGCAGGTCCATACCCACCGATGGAGGCTGTAGAACTGGTCTCGTTCGTTTGGAGCCTCAGCAATTATATAATTTGACAATAACCTTAGCACATTGAACATCAACACTGTATATTTTTCATCTACTTTCTTTGGTTTGCTCCTGTTTTTAAACGGAGGTACTTTGTTGTGTGAGATTGATGTACCTTGTAAAAAAAATATGCTTATGAACGTTGACATAGCATGAATAGAAATGGTTCATTTCCGGTGCCCAGCCCTGCATCTTCCCTATCTGGCGTGTTAATGTGTGGAAGTGTACATGAACATTGCATGTGAAGCCTGAGCTGCTTTTTATTTTCTTTTACTTTTTTTTTTAAATGTGGTGAAGGCTCGTCTAAAGTTCTAAGGGCTTATTCTCTTCACCTTATTGGAGAAGGCTCTTCTAAGGGCTTGTTCTCTTCACCTTATAAAAATAAGTGTCGGGTTTATTAAGTTAGATCAGTTCAGGTTAAAGTCTAATAAGTTTAATAAGGTATAATAAGTTCATTAAGATTTAGGGTCTCTTCTGTTCAGCTTAATTTTAGTTCAGTTCAGTTCTTCTTCAATCAATTCAGTTCAGTTCATTTCTTAATTTCCATCTCTCATAAACAATTCATTTCAGCTCTATTCAGTTCAGTTCATTTCTTAATTTCCATCTCTCATAAACAATTCATTTCAGCTCTATTCAGTTCAATTCACTTTAGCTCCAATTAGTCAGTTCAGTTATTTTCAATAGATTATAACAAACCCTTAATAACTTCCAATAAGTTAAAGAAAGTATTATAAGTTCTAATAAGGTTTAATATGTTTTAATAAGGTTCAATAAATTCCAATAAGTGCAATAAAATCTAATAAATTTAATAAGGTATAATAAGTTCTATTAAGTTCAAATAATTTTCATCATGTTTCTCTAGCTTTTTATATCATTTCTGGCTTTTTCTCTCCCAAAACCCTACCCTTCTCGCAAAAAACTTCTTCGGCCATGAGGCTCGCCGGCGGGCGTGTGGCTCACCGCCCATGCCACATCGTCGGCGAGCCTCCGATCTACTTTCTTAGGGTGTTTTTTTCGTTTTTCGTGTTGATTTTTTGTCTGGTTGGCCTAGCAACAAGCCGCCGCTGCCCCTTTTCGGCCGCCTCTTATCCTCACTGGCCTTGAAGCCGGCATGCCACCGATCTTCTATTCCGCTTCCCCGCCGTTTCTCTGCTCCACCGCCTCGCTCGTCGTCGCGACGTTTTGTATGAGAATGGAGAGGGAGAGTTATCTCCCTCTGAGTCCCTCGCGTAGGGCCATTCTAAGTCTGGTGCTTCCAGCCGTCGCTGCCGCGGTTCAGGGGTTTGTGGGGTTTGGGCCTCTCGGGCGGCTCTCTGCGGTTCGGGCCTTACTGTCCGGCGGTGTGTGGTTTGGGTTGGTGAATCTTGGAGAATTGGTGGTGGTGTTCGGATGGGCTGCGGGGTCGGTTGTTATATTTACGTTCTTAGTTTTCTTTTTTAGGTTTTCTTCTGTTTTTTCTATTAGTGGTGTGCGGTTTTGGGTCTCTTTTTTCTCTATTTGTGTGTGTGGTTTATTCGGGCTTGTTATTTTTTCTTTTTGTGTGGTGCGTTTGTGTGCTATGGGGAGTGCAGATCGATTTCCCGATCTTCTGGTGCAGGATTTGAGCCGGGTTTTTTTGGCTATGGGGCTTTGGTTTGATCTTCTTTTGGTTTGGGCTGAAGGGTTATGCTTCCAAGCCAAAATCCGTATTTGAATCGGAGATTGTTTTGTCAATGATAAATTGTATGACACCAAATTTGAATTCAAGTCGAGGAGTACAGGCTTCTGAGTCAATTAAGGTTCACGTCAGAAACTACAACTTATTGCCAGACCCCCTTGCAAGAGGCTGCATAGGACAACGTTATATGAGACAAGGGTATTTCAAGAAGTCGATTTGCGCGTGCAATTGTAGTTTATTTTATTTCGAACTTGTAATTGGTTCAATAAATATTCGATTACGATTTCTTATGTAAGTGCCGTATGGCTTATTATTAATAAATTTTAATCTTCCCCCTCAAAAAAAAAAATCAAATAATTTCAGTTTGGATAAGTTCATGTCCAATAAGGTGAAGTGAACACACCCTAAATTGAAATTTAACACGGAGCGTCATTGCAAACCGGACTGGATTAGTGGGCATGGTCCATGAGGGAGGAAGAACCCCTTATGGGTTTATCCCGAATTAATCAGGTTGTGTGGCGCATGGAAAGCCGTAGCTTGACAAGCTCACATTCCACGTTGGTGGGAAATTGTCTGGCTTAAGCCATAAACCGTATGTATTATGTTGCCTGTTTATTTTTGATCCAAGTAAACATAGTCTAAAATGGCGTTGAAGATTATCTGATTATTACTACGGAGTACCTACTTCCAAAATCCAAAGACCATCGAAGAGGCTAAGTGTTAGGATCCAACCTCTTTCATCATGTATTTTGCTTTCTTATGTCTTTATTTAGCTTATGTTAAATTTTCAATGTATTCGTGTAAGTAGTTTAGGCGCTAGGGGAGATTATTGTGTTACTGTCATTTCAGTGTTCACTAGTATTTCTCCATGTAAGCAATAGCTCTATATGGAGCGATGGTTGAATGAATGAAAAAGCTCCTATTCGGGTTGCCTTGCTTTAAGACTTGTGTGTTGATTTAAGCCTTTATAGATATTGTGCTTGCCTTGTTTTAAAGCTCCCCACCAAACCAAGAGACTCTCAAAGACGCCTACATCCTTGTCGGTTCCGCTTGTGCCCGCTTCGAAGTATCGGCCGTCACAAGCCCCGACCCTGCACTCGTTACTAACGATTGCCTCATTGAGATACATTTGGTCCGTGTTGCTGTGTGCCCACGAACCTCTCTCACTCTAGGCTTGCGTTCTTGTTTCTAAAAGATAAGAGCGCGCCGCACGATCCGGTGTCAAACCACTCGGACCGTGACACTAAGACATGTCAAATACAAAGTCATTTAGATACAGCCACCTAGTAGTCCACACGTGCATGATGGCTCGCTGACGAAGCTTAAACTTTATTAGCTGATTTTTTATGACGTCATTCTTTTTTTTATGAATGTCGTGCCGACTGCCGAGTATGAATGTCGTGCATTGTTTTAAAATTCCTACAAAAATTGTACTCTCTAATTCCATGCCTTACATTACTTGGCCTTTTTTTTTCCTTCCAAACTAATGTAATAATTCATTATTTAATAACGTAGGCAAGATACCTTCCTTTTTTAAGGGCCTATTCTCAGAACTGAGCTGAACTGAACTGAACTGAACTGAATTTCAACGTAAGAGAACAGGCCCTAAGTGTTTGTTTTTCTAATTAAACGTCTTAATATATCTATCTTTATTTTATGTACAATTACCTACATACCCCCCCACTTCATACATACTACCTTCGTTACAGGTTATGTGCAACGATTAGACATTTTCCCTCTCTGCTTTATGTCAAATCGTTACACGTAGTCTATAACGGAGGTAGTATTAATATACTCCGTACTAAACTTCTCTTAATACCTTCTAAGTTGGTACCTACATGTACTGATAAAGAAATAATTGTATAACCAACAAAATAAAGCATTTTCATTATATCTCCACTAAAAAACAAAATATTGTACTCTTCGTGATTATCTCAATGTACTTCACGCATAATTTTATACTTCATTCATTTGCATTAAAACTCGTAAAAGATGAAAAATATAATACACACTTAATAAAGGATTCGAGAGAGTATGTTTTTATGTTTAAGTAATACTTCATATATCAATATTCATCTAACTATTGCTGTTTTTCCAAATTTGGACTCCTTCACAAGGAATACTATTCAATTAGTACCCCTCACCTTTTTTTTTTTTTTTTGGATAGGCCAGGGTCATATACTCATGTGACATCTAAGGTCATATAATTAAACAAGTTAGACTTAAGGGAAATACAAGTATAAACAAGATTTTTCTCCTTTCAATAAGTTAGGTTTATGTTTAAATTCTAAAAAAAACAACATAAATATAAATTCCAAACAGAGAAAGTATATTCAATAATTTCAAAGTTGGGAATTGAAAGCTTTAAAGGGGAACCACTCATCAATATAGTTAAAGTATGAATTGTACAAGAATGCGATGGCTTAAGTTGACTAGTGAAGTTGGGTTAGCACGGTGGTAGGAGAAAAGGCACACTCATCAAACTATAGAAAATTCGATTTAGTGGGACTACAATGCATTATATTATATTGGCTTTATAACATAAGCTAAGATTATCATGAAAATAAAGAAATGTATTTGGATCTCTCAACAATTCTTCATGCATGTCACTATTAACGGTGGCAGGTAAGATTAAAGAAACCAAAAAATAAATCTCACTAACACTTTTCCTATCTCTTTTGTCTATGCTTGTTTTTTACCCATTATTGTCGTTTTCAATTAGAAAATTTGAAGTTTTTGATGATGAGTTAGGTTTGAATAATTTCTTTTTGGTTATGTGTTTATTACTCCGTACTATTGTATCTTTTAAAAGATAATGTTTTTATTTTCCTTATAATTTTCTCGTTTAACTAGTCAATCCCTATAAATCGAAAAGAATTAACACAAATATTAGTTTACGTCTTAAAAGACAAAATTATTGTGTTCGTCTATAGTATAATAGAAGAGGACATAAACTCATACAAAATGAGCAAATTGTCATGTGCATTGTAATAATACTCACTCACAAGTTGACCAATTGATCATAGTTAATTAGTTACTTGCTCACATTATGGGAATGAAAAGAGTGAGGTGCACAACGTTGACCGATGAAGGTAGAGACGTGGCCAACGTGGAGACGTGGAGTGCATGTGAAGTGTGAATAAATAATTATGTGTTGCATTACAAAACACTTATCTAACATTAAAGTCAAAATTAAAACATAGTTTCCTAAGTAATACAAATAGATTTGTGTCACAATAAGAGAAATAGGATAATACGAGTAATAAAATTAACACTAGTTGCCCATTCTAGCTTTAGAATTCTTCTTTTGGATCGTGGATGCCAACGATTACATTGTCTCAAATTCTTCAGTTTTAGAATGTATGGTTGACTTATTTCAAAGCTTATACAGAGTATGAAGATGTACATAAATCTTATAATAGACCAAGAAGCTATGTTCCATTTTAATTTTATTTTTTTTAAAAAAGGTAATATTAGAATTTAGAAAGCTATTTACTACTATGTAAAGTCATGAGTTACAGTACCA